TGGAGGTAGTGCTTAAAAGTTGGGCGTGTGTTTGAAAAATGTGCAGAGGTGGTGGTTCTCTTAAGGAATGAATAAAGAAAAAAAATAAAGAGAAACAAAGAAAAAATGAAAGCAAAAGAGAGCCACCACCAAAATTCTGAATAGTGCCCATTAGGTAGTGTTTCTTAGCAGTCTGGCTTGGAAATGCTAGCATTTATATAACCTCCTTCGCTCTTGTGCCCTAAAGAATTTGGTTAATGCAGAATAGCAGAACGAAAGTTACTGGTTTGCTTGACTGTGGTTTTGTTGGGTTGGGAAATGTGGAACCTTGTGCTATAATTGCCACCACCTAAAAGGCCTTTTCCCCATGTCCAAGACCCTAGCCAGTCATTTGAACCTGTGTCTAAGACCTCCGGATTAGTTAGTGGCGACACTGCTTATGTGAACTCTAGCATTTAGAGGTTGCATTCATGGTGAAGAGACGATAGGGATTGAGAGAAGAAGCATGCGCATTTTTCGTATCAAATTGTCCTGACCCCACTGGTCGAGAGTGAGCGATTAATTTTCTTATATTCTCTATACTCTTTACCCCGGTGAGGACCTAGATTGCTCGGTCTTAATTCTGATATCTTGAGCTTTGTGCATGAAGTGACTGTTTTGAACAAGTGGTTGAGTTAAGTCTAGGTTGGTTGGTGAACAGGAGAAAACTCTTCCTTTGCTCGACTTTATTGCATTCGAATGTCGTATGTGGTGGTTGTCTAGATTGTCATTCGAGTTGCCATGTGTTGATGATCGAAAGCCAGTATGATCCACGTGTTTTGTGTCGATACGATTTGCCTAAAGCCTGCTTGATTGAAACGTTTTGAGCTTACCTGGTGTCTGACTTGGTTGCTTAGGGACAAGCAAACGGTTAAGTGTGGGGGAGTTTGATAGACCAATAATTACACATGTTTTCACCCCATTCTGAAGCCGTTTGAGATGTGGATTCTAGTGTTTTAAGCCGATTTCACGCTAGGGTGTGTGTTTATGTCATATTTCAGGTCCCGGCGGAGAAATAGAGGCGGAGAAACGAGTTCTGGGTCGAAAGGAGCGAAGTTGGGACAAAGTGAGCCGCAGGAGGAAAATACCCGGTCAGGTGGCCAAATACCCGACCGGGTATTCACTATTTTGGGCGCCTGAGAAACAGAGAGGGGCCCGGGCAGATGACTTAAATCCCCGGTCGGGGATTATGGAAAGTGACCGGGGATTTTAGCTTTACCAAAGCGGCGCGTTTTGCCAATACCCGGTCGAAACCCAAAATACCCGACCGGGTATTTCGACCGGGTATCGCGACATTGGAGCCCAGCTTGAGCTTGGAGAAGTGCCGATTAAACATCCAGGAGCAGAAATCCATCTTCACAGTATGATTTCCGCGTCTGAATCTGCTTTTGCTTCTTTCTCTATGGAGTAGTTCCCCCATTCATCTGGGTATGGGGAACCCTAGATTTGTATGCTAGGTCTGATTGTATGAACCCAAGTACAGAGTTTGTGAATTGATTATATTCGATTGAGGTTTGAATGATTGAATGACTTGAATCCTGATCAAATTCCTGTTGTTTCTGCTTTAACCTAGAATGAGAATATCTGCCTAGGTTGATAGAGTATCCTTAATCGAAGGTGGCGAATTGGTGACTTTAGTCGAGGAGCCAATTCGCTATTCTGTACCGAATTCAATTCGGTAGTGGAGGTTTGGTTCGCTAGGGCCTCAATCTGTTTACTCCGGTGGAGGTTAGTCGCCCGCTAGAGACTCAGATTGAGAGGGTCTGGAGACCTTTAGTCGAGACTTCAGACTAGTTAAGAACCTTCCGCAGTATAACTTTCATGAAAACTGAACTTGGTAAATTGCAATTCGACTTAACTGCAGTCTAGGGGGAACCATATCCGGGTGACCTTTCTTGACTTGAACAACCGTTTACTTGCTTTGTGTTTTTGTTTGCTTGAATCTGCACTAAAAGTTCACTGCTAGATAACGAGAATTCACCGAGTAGTCATCACATCTAGGACCCGGGTTGACAATAAAACCCAAACCCGCTATAATACGCTTTAGGAAGTGGTTACACTTGGCCATTTTCTAGAGCGACAGTAGGAGTGATTCCAGTACACAGTAGTGAATCGATTAACTCTCGTATAACCAATTCACTACTACCAATTGAGGAAACTCAAACAACCTAATCAGATTCTATCTATCTCGAGTTGCAGCAGAAATCAAGAAGAGTTGACCAGGCTTCAATTGAATCAATAAAACATGCCTCAACCGATTATAACCAAGCAGTATAGCCTCCAAAAGTCATTACAACCAAGATCCCTGACACATGGAACTAGGGTTCTTCATACTAAGTGAGAGAAAGTTCTACTCCATGGAGAGAGAGGAAAACAGAATACAAAGCAACCATACTCATAACAATGGGAAGAATCTTTTCTGGGATGTCAATCTTCACTCCTGGGGATGCAATCTGAACTTCAATGATCAGAAATCCACTCCAAATAGCTCCTAGGGTTTGTTCTTCGCACTTTCTCTATATAAAACTCTGTTTTTGCTCCATATTTTAGTCTGTGCTTGCCTGTATTTTGCTCTTCTTCAGACGTCATGGGTATGGCTCGACATTAAAATTACGTTCAGGAGCAGGAGAAATACGATCGTATTTCTTCACGGGACAACCGTATTTTGCACCTTGAATCGCCAAATGACCTCCAAATGACCAAAAACTTGCGTCTATGCCTCCCTTTACTCGCTAGGGCCTGAGATATGACAAAATAACACAACCTAGCGTAAAATAGGCCAAGAAACCAAAAATTCGAGCTAAAATGTTCAGGAAACATGGGTTCAAACATGTGCAAATACGATGCTATCAAATTCCCCCACACTTAACTGTTTGCTTGTCCCCAAGCAAACCAAGTCAGATACAAGGTAAGCTCAAAAAACTTTAATCATGCAACCCTTGGGGAAATATCATATCGGCACAAAACACGTGAATCATACTGGCTTTTGGATATCAACACATGGACAACTTCAACAACAACCTGGACAACCACCACGGAGGACATTCGAGTGCAGCAAAATCGGGTAAAGGAAGAGTCTCCCTTCTGTTCACCAACCAACATAGACTTGACTCAACCACTTATTCAAGACAGTCACCTCATGCATAAAACTCAAGACATCATAATCAAGACCGAGCGATCTAGCTGACCAAGCCCTCTTAAACAGAATACCCAGCAAGCGACTAGCTTTCACTGGAATTGACTGCTAAGGCGATTCACACAGATCTCCACTACTTGGAATGAATTCGAGTAAAAAGCAGTGAATTGACTGACTCTCGTACAATCAATTCATTCCTATCAATTGAAGAAGCTCTATCAACCTAATCAGATTCTATCTATCATAGTTTAAAGCAGAAATCAATAGAATGTGATCAAGATCCAATTGACTCAACAAAACATGCTTCAGTTCATTATAATCAAACAATATAGCATCAAAGTATTCAAACAACCAAAATCCTAACACATGGAACTAGGGTTCCTCAAAACCTAAGTGAAAGGAATTTACTCCATAAAGAAGAGAGAGAATGCAGAAATCTGATTTAGATCTTCAATCGTCATCTCCAAGCTTGATTCCTGAGCTCCAATAGCGAAGAAATCCTCCAAAATAGCTCCAAGAATGTTCCCAAGTCGCTCTCTCTCTAGGATTCGTCCCTTGGGTGTTTGGGATCCAAAATCCAGCTCTCCCCCTCAAAAAATTGCAGAAAACAAACTTATACCCGAGCACGGGGCAACAAGACGGTGTGTGAGGCATCCCACCGTCTTTAAGGGTGGAGGCACGCGTTGTGCTATGTATGAATGTATGTGATGATGTATGGATTGATGGTATGAGGAACCCCCGGGCGGTTGGGTCACTACTGGACGGCGAGACGTAACGCAGTAGTTGACGGGCATGGACTGGACGGCGAGACGTAACGCAGTGCCATTGCCGAGTTGGGTATGCAACCGGACGGCGAGACGTAACGCGGTTGGCATACTAGGGTAGGACACCGGACGGCGAGACGTAATGGAGTGGTCCTAGTGTTTGAGTTGAGATAAGGATAGAGGTCGAGAACTTTTATGAGTTAATGTTGAAATGAGTTGATAAGAATGGTTATTTAAGAGCAGAAAGCGAGAACGACTTTCATGCTAGGAAGGCATTCCCCTAATAATGTGTTTAGTAAAGAGTTTGCCTAGGGCAAAGACCTTAGGAAGTAATGACGAGACTGACCCCTTCTCACTCACCAGGTTGAGGGTAGTCTAGTAGAAGTGGATCACGAGAAGAAGCAGGGCGAGGCGAGCAGCAGTACCAACGGCGACGGGGTGTCAGAAAGCTCATGAGGAGTCCAGTTAGATTAGTTAATTATTCTGTGTCATGGTTATTAGTATAAACTGGAGATTTTGTGTTGAGTCTTTTTAAGTGTTTGAGATTGAGAATTTTGCCCAAGTGTTGGGGCTTTTCGTTAAAAATTCTTGAATGATGTCAGTTGGTTTATTTTAAAATGTGGTTTGGGTTGCTCCGGAGTAACCAATTTTTGGTATGAGTTGTGGTTTGGTTTTCAAAAATGATCTGGTCGTGTCATTTTGGTATCAGAGCCGGCACTCCTCTGTTCCTTGGCCTCCAAGGAATACTGGAGTGTCAGTTAAAAGTTTGGCCAAACGAGTGAGAGTCTTTCGGAAATTTTTAGAATCAGTATTAGACAATAGTATGAATAGCTTCTATTGTTGAGCTATGATACCCCGCTCCTTCAGTAAAGCCTGCAACATATTAGAGGTACATTCCCCACCGGGATCAGATCGAAGAATTTTGATTTCCTTACCGAATTGGGTGGAAATCATCTGGAAGAACTACCAGCAATGCATACTTCTGTCGAAGGAATTAACCCCATACATACCGAGAAGCCTGATCAACAAACAAAGCAAAATATTGATAACCGAAGCTTGATGTCATAGGAGACGGACCTAGAGATCAATATGCACGATATCAAATGGTTCGGAATAAACTGTTGTACTAGGCGAGAACGAAATCTATGACATTTTAGCTTGCAAACAATGAACACAAAATTAGGATGCCCCAATCTAAAATGCCATAAATCCCAATCCGACAATGTTACCGAAAATCCAAATATGTTTAAGTGACAACCATGGAAAAAACCACTCCTATCATTATTATGACTATTATTGTGACTATTCTTCGCATGCTTCCCATGCACACGATCACCAGCTTCCTTCGAACAAGAGTAGTGATCAAGCATGAAGGTTCGGCCACATTTACTCCCTCTCCCGAGTTCCTTCCCCGTCCTCGTGTCCTGCACAGTACACCCAGTGGCGTCAAAAATTACCCGACAACCGACAACCATGATCAGCAAGCTGATCCACCGAGACCAAACTGGGAACAAGTCTAGGCACATATACTAGGCTGAACCACACGCCCAACACCATGAACGGCCATTATAGAACCATTTGCAGCCTGAAGTGGCAAGTGGGGCAAGTGGGGAACCGATGTATCTAGAGTATCAAACGAACGGTTGGAGCTAGTCATGTGATTATAGGCAGCCGAATCAATGTGCCAAGAAGGAGATGAAGATACATTACTCGTAGCAAAAGCAGATGTGAGAGCGGACGGAAGAGACTCCTTCAAAGCCCCATGTACCAGGCGGCGGACATCAGCTGTAGTGATGGATGCAGGAGATGGAGAAGACACCTCCATTGCATACGCAGCCCCAGCAGGACGAGGCCCTCCAAGAGCACCATTCCCACGACCCCGCCCTCGGCTTCGCAACGATTATTAACCTACAGTAGGAAGCAACAAAACCAATGGTAACCATGATAAGCACCTAATGATCTAATCATGATCGAACATTCTTCAAAGACAAAGGACATGATCGAACATTCTTCAAAGACAAAGGACATGATCGAACTGCAACTATCAAGACTTCATCTGGAAATTGAATCGACTCCAAAAAATAAAATAAAAACAACCATACTCAGCAAAAGCTCCACTTGTTTGTTGCGGCAAGAATATGTTCCCTCTTCCCTCCCACTCTTCTGAACTAATGCAAGAAGGAAACATATGATTAATATATTTATCACCACCAAACATATCATTACTTGGGCTTTAACCAACGAACGGGCATAGCATAGGGTGTAGCATAGGGTAAGAAAGCATAAGTTCAATGGGCATCTCTAGGACCTTACTTCGGCCTAATTTTGTTAGCCAACCTAGAATAGTTATTAAGCTAACTAACCTAACTACACTACCCTAGTTAATTACAAGGTGTGGATCCATTTAACATATGGCAGCAAAGGAATAAGAATAACCTGTAGGTAAAAGTACTTATGCTTACCACAGATCTAGGTCCATTTAACATATGGCAACCCACATATGGCAACCCATACGGCAAGAATCACACTACAAAGAAGGCTTCTATTGTAAAAGTACGTACTTATGCTTACACCACAGTTGCATAACCATTCTGAACATCCAGCCAATATTCTTAGAAGTACTAAACCGAGAACACATTGATAGTGTCGATACATAGTGGAAAGGAAGGAAGTACCCTTACCCTCTCGAAGCACAATCCATACGGAACACAGGTGCAAGAAACTGACCTCCTCCGAGCACCTTTGTAAAGCAGCCCCTGCCTTTGGTTTGCTTCACGAACATCAGTTCACAAGCTTGCTAGTTGGGGTTGAGTAATAATGAGTAATGACACATTACAGCCTAAGCAGATAAAAAGAAGTCACTCCCTAGAATTCTTTTTTGCAAAATCAATAATTAAAATGGTTACAAGCAAAAATACAGTTTGTAGATTAGTACTCACGAGACTGGACTTTAATGACCAGATGCCAACCCTTTGTCAGATGCTTGACTTGCTAAAATAAATGGTTCGTCTGTCTTTAGAGATCTATTTTGATTAATGCTAACAATCCCATATTCATCTACCTTCGTTCCATCCATTTGCTTATCGTGCATATCAAACCAATCACAATGGAACAAAACCACTCACTCTTCTTCCTCCAATAAACTGCAATTCAACAACTTCAGATAACACACCAAAGTAATCTTTTCCCCATGATGATACCAAAATGTATAATTTCGAATGATCTCGTAAACCTTAAGATGTGTTGTAATTGATTCACGAGTTCGTAATGTTGCATTACAGCATTTCCTAATGTTGCATTACCATTTATCTCGCTCCTTTGAAAAGCATAGTCCTGACCAAGTCGATCATAAACAAGATTCATCCAATCCTTATTAGGAGCCATATTTCTCAAATGTACATTCAAGATGAATACCACCTAATACGAGTAAAATTCGCAGCCCTTAAATTCAATATCTCACGTTGGTTTATACAAACAGATGATTAAAAGGGATTCATCCTTATTCAGAAATTTTATCATAGGAAGAGTTATGGAGAGCTATAATCAAGCAGGGGAACACGTTACCTTGGAACTTCTTACTAGTTTGCAATTGAGAATCAAGTCTCAGTTCGAACAGACTTTGTTCAGTCATGCACCAAATCTGAACGAGCGAAAGGAAGCTGGTATAAAACTACGCTTGGACGCATTAGAATGTGTCTGTGGAGAGCAATACATACATGAAACTCAACAATTACAGTGAAACACGAATGTGTATCGAAGTGCTTGGAAGAGGCGGAATGGGGATGGAACATGCTAAGCAAGGAGTGTCTCAGAAGGACAAAATAAAAAAAAAAGGGTTCAAAACCGAGAGTTCATTTGGATCCTACCTGCACCTGGCATTGTTCCTGTCTGCTTCTTTCGATAGTACACGAACGAACCACTTGCAACCAAGAAGAACAACACAATGCCCTGCACCAAAAATTCAAATATCAGAACTTCTAGCTTGGTGACAATAAGAAGAAAAGAAAGAATGTTAGTCACTTCAAATTGGATTTGTAAAGATGAGAACCCAGAACATTTATCCCAAATTGATCATCCGACGCAATAGAAATTTGCCTATCATCTTCCTAAACAGACTTTGGGGCCAAACCCCATCGAGGAATATATATAGGGATTCGCATACCTCAAAAACAAGCACTGAAACCTTCTCTTCATCAGCAGGCGGTACATGAAAACTTTAAGAGATCGATGAATTAGCCGAATCAAACCTAAGGTACATGAAAGAAGGCACGGAAGAACGGAATCCAAATCGGTATACCCAGTAAGAAGTAGGCAAAGAGCGATTGGTTGCCGGCATCCTTATTCAAATCCGACGGACTTGGGAAGCATGGAAGAACGCAATCCAAATCGTATACCCAGTAAGAAGTGAGAAAGAGCGAGTCGGTTGGAAAGATTAGGGTTAGTGATGAAGAAGACAAAAAAAATGAAAAGGGGTAATTACCGGGCTCGAACGCGCGTTACTGTTTAGTGTAGCACAACTTTGTGCACTCTGACCAAAAGGGACAACAGCGGATGTTTGTTATAATGTTGCCAGGTAGGATAATTAAACAATTCGGAAACTTAAAGTAGGCACTCCCCCGTCCCTTCCACCTTCCTCTACTACGTAGGTTTTTTGAAAACTTTAAGAGATCGTAACTTTGTGCTCGTGCATCCGATTAGGGTACTTTTTTTTTTAATTTCATATAACTTTTCGAGATCTACCAAGCTGCAAACCGCCGAAGGCGGTTTGTTCCCGACCTTTTTCAAAATAAGCTCATTTAGTAGTCCAAATGGAGCATTTTGTGATTTCGTCAAACTTCGGAGGGCCGTAACTTTGCGCTCGGTTGCAGGATTGGTGCAAACTTTTTTTCCAATTGTAGATGATTTGTAGGTCTACTTACTACACTATTGCCTGTTTTAGATATTAGTACATCTTCTGAGTTTTATTGTGTATTTTAAAAGTTGTACACTTTCTGGGAAAACGTTTAAATAAAACTCTGGGCAATACTGTTACAACAAAATTGATTGTAGTCTGATGGTGTTCATTGCACTAGTACGCTATTTTGGTGCCCTGGTTCGATCCACAGCTTTCATAACATTTAATATGAAAAGTTTTAATTTTAACTGTGATAATATGCGTTGGTGGGGTTTCGAACGTGGGACCTGTTGTACAAAAAATAGGCAATGCCACCAATCGTGCCAAGACTTTTATTATTAAACATTAAGTGACAAGGTTTGTATTTAACAATTTGGATTGTGAGTTAATCTTCATGGAATAAGTTCGCGACGTCATTAAGTACTGTTGTTGCTCGGTTATTCCCACGTTTTCATTTCAACTGCCGAAGGCATTTTGTGGAGGCATCCGATCAAGGCATCACAAAGGATCCTCATTTGCTCATGTGTACATGGATCCTCCTCATTCATGCCTTGGCCATGAAAGCATGAAGATTTGGATGGACCGGGACTTGGGAAATAATAGAGGCATAGTGAGTCGGGACTATCATCTTGGAGTTTTGATCTATCATCGTATTATTGCCCGTGACATGGGACATGGGACATGGGACTTGGGACTTGGGACTTGGGCATATTAAGTCAGTGGATGGTGGCGGCTAAGCCTCGCTTGATGTTGGGGGAGTTTGATGATGGGGAGGGACGAATCGGAGCGACATAGGGCTGAATCTCAGTGGATCGTGGCAGCAAGGCCACTCTGCCACTTACAATACCCCGTCGCGTATTTAAGTCGTCTGCAAAGGATTCTATCCGCTGCTCGGTGGGAATAGTACTTCAAGGCGGCCCGTCGGACTCGCGTCTACCTCCTCTTCCCTTCTCACCTATCTCTAACAAAAAAAATCCTAGCCGTCAAGAGCTCCATCACCGACCTCCATCATCGTCGACCTCAATCACCACGCAGACCTCCATCATCGTTGTCGCGACCGCCTTCCTCCTCACGTCGATGATTCCCCGCCGTTCCCGCTGCCCTCGTCGCCCCAGCTGAGCCTTTCGTCGTCTTTACACCACTGTCGCCCCCTCTGCCTCCCCCTTCCTCCGCCTCTCACCACCTCCCATCTTCACGGCGCCGCCACGAGGTCACCGCCTCTCCCCTGCCTTTCCCTTTCCTCATCTCCTAATACTTTTTTCAGATCTGTGATTTTTCAGATTCCATATCTGGTTTTTTGTGTTAGTCTTTAGTGGTACTAGTACCTATCAGAGGTAGTGCTACGCTTCCAGTGGTAGTGGTACGCTACCAGTGGTACTGGTACTCTACTAGCGCACTCACGAAGTTGTACTCTTTTGCAGGTGGCCGGAGTGAGTCTGATTGAAGGTTGTCACCAGGAAAAAGTTTGCCGATCGGAGTAAGTTTGGCGGTCGGAGCGAAGAGGCTGCTGGAAAAAGTAGAGAGAGATAGAGAGAGATATAAGTGTATTAATTGTAGGGTTTTTTAAAAAAAGTATTTATTTAATATGAGTTTTAATTCCCTATATGTAATTAATACAAAAAAAATTAATTAATAAATTTATTTTCTTGTTATACCCAAATTACCCTTGGTAAACCATAAAAAAAAATTACCCTTGGTTGTGAATCTCACAACCCTAAAAGGAAGTGACCTATCCCATCCCTTTGCCCATTCTCCACTTTCTTTCCCCAAAAACATTGACCCTTATTTTTATGAATCTCGTCGCAATCTCCATCGCTGCTGCATCTTTCCATTCCGGCAAGAAAGTCCTAACAAATACCAGCCTCATCGCTCCTTCTTTCGAACCTCTTCCCAAATTGAAACAACCGAAAAGGTTCCCGCCTTTGTCGATCCTTCTTCCGTCTCCCTAGTACGTACATGCAGCCATCTGCCCAGAGTTACTTGTCGTAGAAGGATCCAAGGTACAGATGTCCGTTGGGGAGGTGCTTCTCAACGGTGGAGGTGGCGTCGCCGCTGGAGCCATCCAGCAGTGGGAGAGAGAGAATGATCAGGCGATCTGAGAGAATTGAGGGGGCCAACTCGAGTGGTGATGGAACCGTGGGCATTGGAACTCCCCAGGTCGTGATATGGGAGAATCGATAGGGCCAAATCATTTGGGATGAAATTGAAGAGCAGCTGTGGTGGAACAACAGCCGGAAAGTTTGGGATCTGATGGACAAACAGCCGCCCACCGATGACCCTTGCCGGCCTCAACTTGTGCAGGAAGTTTGGATTTTGCAGCAAATCGGCGGTGGCGATGGACTAGTTAGAGAAGGGTGGGATGTTTTTGGTCTAGGATAGGGTCAGTAACCATTGGTTACTGACCTATGAGTAACCAAATCGGGACCTTTCATTTAGAGAATCCAGATCTAAGGATGGAGAATTAAACAGCCGCCCACCGATGACCCTTGCCGGCCTCAACTTGTGCAGGAAGTTTGGATTTTGCAGCAAATCGGCGGTGGCGATGGACTAGTTAGAGAAGGGTGGGATGTTTTTGGTCTAGGATAGGGTCAGTAACCATTGGTTACTGACCTATGAGTAACCAAATCTGGACCCTTCATTTAGAAAATCCAGATCTAAGGATGGAGAATTAAAGACCATTTTTATTTTTCTTAGCTTTCTTAATCGACTCATATCTTCTTCGTTTTAACTTGGATTTAAATTTTTTTTTTTGCACAAATGGAACAAGTTCGTTTGCTCTACAAAATGAGATCAATTTTCAATATTTTTTGAGAAAAAAAATTTCTTTCCTCTCGGTACCAACTGCATATCATATGGTATCTTCTTCGTTTTTAATTCGTTTTTGAAAACGTTTGCACAGAAGGAACGAGTTCATCATGATCTATTGGATCTACAAATTTCTGGGTGAACAAATTACAGGACAAAAAAATACCGCACAATACCACCCTGGTATGGGGTGGTATCTTGTGGTACACAATTTTAAAAGTCGTAAATGACGGTTAATATACTTCTACTTCCATGTATTCAACCATCCTATAGTCTTGGTTTGTTCATACCACCATGGTAAGCTTTTCAAACCATAGGTATGCTCTTATTTCAATACCATATAGTATAGACAGGTAAAAAATGACTCAATTTTTTTTGTTCGAAAAATATATCAAAGTGGATATCATTTTGAAGAGCACAATTAATCTGATCTAACTGTGCAAAAAAATTAAATTTCGACTTAAAGCGAGCGAGAAATCGTCCGTCAAAAATTAAGAAGGGGAAAATTAAAGGCTTTACAGGAGAGAGAGGGACTATGATGTCATGCTGATGTGGATGTGTAACTCATGGTTACTCACCATAAGGTTACTAGCTGATCCGTTCTCCGGGAAGAGGAGAATGAAAGAATTTTTATTGGTAATTTGTTTTCTTATTTTTTTGTTACCACCAATGCCAACGAAGAGAGAGAAAGTGAAAGTGAGGTGGGGTAGGATAAAAATATCCATGAATTAATTAATTATTTAATTTATGACATGTAATTATAAAATAAATTTAAATTATGACACGTCACTTTCGGCTTATTTGGCGATGACGTGTGCACTGAGTTGACATCTAGTCAGCGAACCGTCAATGAAGTCGACAGTGTTAATAACATTGTTAAAGTAACGGAAATGACTATATTCGTCCAACACCCTTAAGAAAATCTTGCTATAACTGATATTTCTTCAAATTTGGCTATTATTGTCACAAACGTGAAAGTTTTGGCTATACAACTATATTTTTCCAAATAATTTGATGACATGATATGACAGTAATATGATGTTGGTATGACAGTGATATGATATTGGTATGGGTTTTCATGTTTGACCAAACATAACAAAATGGATGTTATTGTGCAGATCTTAATTAATGCGTTCTTTCTATGCAATTTTTTAAGTTTGAGTTGAATGTAGAAGATGTGTCGTCATATCACTGTCATATCAAGATGATATGATAGATATGAGAGGGGATAATGCTACAACCGACACATATTTTGCAAAGTTAACTTTTTATTTTCTTAAAATACAACAAAATGGATATCATTGTGTAGATCATAATTAATGCATACTGTCTATGCAAAATATATAAATTCCAAATTTAAACAAATGTTATAGGATCCAGTTAAGAAAATAGTAGATTAGAAAAAGTATCCTTTGACTGTCTATCATCTCCCCTCTTATTTTGTGCAGACGGTTAGGAAAAAAAATGCAGAGGCACACTAAATTACCCATAAGCCATTCTAGATTTTTTTTTTCGGAATTAGTTTGAGCCATTTAATTTGATTAACATGAATGACTACATATATAATTCTGTTGTGGATTTGTAGAATAGGATTTTGTACCCTATCATTTCCTTTATTGTTCCATAAAACAAGCCATGAGCAATTAATTAAGTGATGCATTTTTTTATGAATTAGTTGTTGTATGTTTCATCAAACCTGCAAGTACTTGTTGGCAAATAACTCTTGTCACCAAGTAATTTCAAACTTTTACTTCACCTATCTATATCATATAGCCAAGGAACAAAAATCAGGTCTACCAGATTC